GCGTGGCCTCTAGGGAGCAGGTGTGGAGGCGGCGCTGCACCCCCCCATCCCAAGAAGAGCCAGGACACCTCCGAAGTTAGAAAGTCACAATTTATTTCAAATAAACCAAGGGCACACCTCTGGCAAACCGTCTCCCGGGCGGTTTTTGCCGCCCCTGCCCCTCTCCGGTGCCTGCGAAGAAAAGCGAGGGGTGGCAGCAGCTCTGTGGGCTCCCCCCAGCCCGTGTCAGGGGTACACCGCAGCCCCCACCAACGCCATCCCACACCCTGAACCAGACCGGGGCGAGGAAAGGAATTCCCAGAACAAGTGCCTCATTTAAAAATAAAGTTCTATTTTTCCACCTGCTTAAAAAGTCTAAAATTTAGAGTGCAAGATTATAGTACAGAAACCTCCTGCTGTCCCTGTCCCCGTGCGGGCACAGCACATTTGCCAGTGCACAGAGCAGCAGTCATGCAGTTTATGTCATCAGTAGAAAAATTTTTTTTTAATTACAGTCTGGGAAGGCTGAGGACTATTAGAGATGAGGCAGCCAATGCACTAACAGAAGCAAAGCTGAAATAAAGAGAGTATCGGACGCGAGGATGGAGAGGTGTCAGGCTGGCATAGAAACTGGAAATGAATGCAAAAAGAAAAAGAAAAAAAAAAGAGCAAACATTCCACATCTGTAGCAGTAACGCACCAAAGGGAAACCTGTATCTCAATTAACTGCTCCTACATTAACTTCACCTACATTCATGTAACCTTGCTGACTTGAATAGGGCCTTGGACCTATTAGAGGGGAAAAAACTGGTCTTGTCTTTTGGCATCGTGAACTGCCGTTCCCTTCCTGCCACCTGCCTCTCGAGCAGCGTCAGCTGCTTTACACAAAGAGCCAACAGTCCATGTGCTCTGCAGGTTTCGTCGTGGAGTCTGTGACTTTCTGTATGACACCAATACAGAAGTCACCCTGCCTGGGCTGCAAAAGCAAGTCAGTCCTGTTGTTTTCCCAGCGAGCAGAGAAACAGGACATTCACCACCCTCAGAAAGGGTGTTTTGTTTTCTTTTAAAATAAAACAGAACTGCTGACAACGCTCTAGTTTTCAAAAAATTTGAAAGAATTAGGGGGTGTGCTGTGCAATATTTATTACTGTTCCTCAGCCACGCGTCTCAGCAGTCTGTTCAGTAAGTTTGGCCACAGCTATATGGTCAGGCTTGTCTACAAACAAGGATTCATAGCAAAGCATTTTGTGGGGGCATGGGAGAGGCAGGGAGGGAAGGAGGCAGGGAGGGAGAGACACAAAACCCCATTCTCATCTAGCTTAAAGCTGGACAATGATGTAACAGAAGTGAGAGTTCATTGGGATTAGGAAACTCTGCATACCTGTTCTGCAAAGAGATTATATGCTATGACAGTTACATTTAGACAACCACAACACCAGCTTTTCTCCTAATTAGTACTTTGCACGTTACATTTTTATAGAACAGTTTAAACACTGGTTCTATGCACTGCAAACTGTTGGGTCTCTGTAAGCCTTCCCCCACACTATCCCTTCCCACTGGGTACAGTGTGCCCAGACTTTGAAAATTCAAAAAACTTTGAAAAAAGCAAGGGGAGAGGAAGGAAGAGACCGACCTCTAGAATTTATGGTGAGGAGGGCACAAAGAGGCTGCTGCTGGAAGCAGAGGAGGGAATGAAGTCAGAAGACAGTGGCTGGAGCACAGATGTATCTACCTCTACGGCTCCAGCATAGAGGGGAGCCAGAAGAGGATGGAGCAGGAACACAAGGAGCCATGGTTACAGAGATCTCTTGTGCAGCAAGCAGCACTGCTCCCAGAAACCACAGACTCCCTCCCTGCCCCGCTGCCTGGCTCCAGCCACCTCTCTGCAACCCTGCTCTACCCTCAGCCGCTTCTGTTGTAACCCCCACTCCACTGCCACATTTCCCTGAGGATGCATCCCACAGCAGGGAAGGGAGGGAGGAAGGAAAAGGCCTCTCAGTTTGAAATTTTCTGCCGTGTACAAGAAGCACAGCCACAGGATTAGCTCCTGTGACAGCTACTCTTCTTTTAATGCATCACTCTCGTTAAAATCCATCTGCCCAGTTATACATGCTGCAAATACCTGGGTCACACGTCTCAGGTACATGAAAAAGGCTCCAACAGCAGAGTTAGCTTATTCTGACACGCAGGAATTTAGTGCTTTCCCCCCCTCCAGTTTAATCTTTATCAAGTGACACTGTATAAGAGCAAATACAGGGATGCACCAAAGGCAAGACTTCCACATACAGCATGGAAGAGAATACCACGAGTTCCCCGCTGAGGTGAAGATTTCCTTGGATCAGACTCCAGCTCCACCTTACTGGCTGCAAACAACACGTTCCTGGTGCAGGTGACATACATGCCCGTGAAATCTTAACATATGGCCTGCTTCCTGTAGCAAACAGGCAAGCATCGGCATTTAAGTAACCTTTTTCATGTTAACCCCTACTAAGATGAACTAGGTTTTCATATTTTTATTTTAGTGTATATTTTACATTAGAAAAAGAATGTTAATAGAAAAAGCTCCACATGCTCCTAACAATCAATTTTCTCATAAGTCCTCACCAGTATCAATACTAATATACAAATAAATTAATTTTGCTAGTTAATTTTCTGCCTGGCTTGGTGCAGGCTCTGTACAAACAGTGCACCTGTATTCAAGTGCCTGTCCACATTACCAACACGTGCCAGGGAGTGTGTTGTACATAATCTTTCTTTCCTCCTCAT